CACTGGTGGGACCATGGTGGCTTCAACCCCTGGTGGGACTGTGGTGGTCTCAACCCCAAGGGCTGTCACCCAATGCTGGTTGGGCCACGGTGGCTTCAACCCCAAGGGTTGGTTGTCACTCACCCCAAGGGTTCATCATCACCCAACACTGGTGGGACAATGGAGGCTTCAACCCCTGGTAGGACCGTGGTGGCCTCAACCCCAAGTGGTGTCACCCAATGGTGCTTGGACCACGGTGGCTTTAACTCCAAGGGTTGGTCATCATCCAATGATGGTGGGACTGTGGTGACTTCAACCCCAAGGGGTGTCACCCAATGCTGGTGGGTCTGTGGTGGCCTCAACCCCAAGGGTTTGTCATCTAACAGTGGTGGGACTGTGGTGACTTCAACCCCAAGGGTTGGTCATCACCCAATGATGGTGGGACTGTGGTGACTTCAACCCCAAGGGTTGGTCATCACACAATGATGGTGGGACCGTGGTGGCTTCAACCCCAAGTGGTGTCACCCAATGCTGGTTGGACCACGGTGGCTTCAACCCCAAGGGTTGGTTGTCACCCAATGCTCATGGGACCTGTGGGGGCTTCAACCCCAAGGGTTGGTTGTCACCCGCCCCAAGGGCTCATCATCACCCAACACTGGTGGGACAATGGTGGCTTCAACCCCTGGTAGGACAGTGGTGGCCTCAACCCCAAGCTGTGTCACCCAATGGTGGTTGGACCACGGTGGCTTTAACTCCAAGGGTTGGTCATCATCCAGTGATGGTGGGACTGTGGTGGCTTCAACCCCAAGGGGTGTCACCCAATGCTGGTGGGTCTGTGGTGGCCTCAACCCCAAGGGGTTTCATCTAACAGTGGTGGGGCTGTGGTGGCTTCAACCCCAAGGGTTGGTCATCACCCAATGGTGGTGGGACTGTGGTGGCTTCAACCCCAAGGGGTGTCACCCAATTCTGGTGTGACTGTGGTGGCTTCAACCCCAAGAGATGTCACCCAACACTGGTGGGACCACGGTGGCTTCAATCCCAAGGGGTGTCACCCAACGCTTGTGGGACCTGTGGTGGCTTCAACCCCAAGGGTTGGCTGTCACCCACTCCAAGGGTTCATCATCACCCAACACTGGTGGGACCGTGGTGGCTTCAAGCCCTGGTGGGTCTGTGGTGGCCTCAACCCCAAGTGGTGTCACCCAATGCTGGTGGGACTGGTTTTGAGAATCTCCACCATCCTGGGGGCCCTCCAGCCTTTTTTGGGAATTTCCACCATCCTGTGGCCCTCCAGCCTTTTTTTGGGGAATCTCCACCATCCTGGGGGCCCTCCAGCCATTTTTTTGGGAATCTCCACCATCCTGGGAACCCTCCAGCCATTTTTTTTTGGAATCTCCACCATCTCCAGGCATTTTTTTTTGGAATCTCCACCATCCTTTTGGAATCTCCACCATCCTTTTGGAATCTCCACCATCCTGGGAGCCCTCCAGCCATTTTTCTGGGAATCTCCACCATCTCCAGCCATTTTTTTTGGGAATCTCCACCATTATTTTGGGAATCATTACTGACCTGGGCCCCGTCTGCCTCTGCCTTGAGCAGCTCGCTGGAGTTGAGCTGGTTGCAGTAGAGCCCTGCTGGTCTCAGCGCCGGATCCGGGACCTGCCAACGGGAATTCCGGGATCAGTCAGAGCTTGGGAATGCTGGAGGGGGCGCTGGCCACCCTCTGGAGCTGGGTTTGGGGGGGAGTATGGGGAGGGAATGGCCGGGGGATCACTGGATGGTCCTGGTGCTTCCCCCTTTGGACACGGATCACATTCCCAGATTAGGGAACACAGACCCCTGGGATCTGCTCCCATTCCCAGATTAGGGATTACAGACCTCTGGGATCTGTTCCCATTCCCAAATTAGGGATTACAGACCCCTGGGATCTTCTCCCATTCCCATATTAGGGATTACAGCCCCCTGGGATCTGCTCCCATTCCCAGATAGGGAACACAGACCTCTGGGATCTCCCAATCCCAGATCAGGGATTGCCCCGTTGGACACGGATCCCTTTGGACATGGACCCCATTCCCAGATTAGGGATTACAGCCCCCTGGGATCTGCTGCCATCCCAGATCCAACCCTTCCTGCTCCCCATCCCTGAATTCCCGGCTCCCTATGGATCCATGGATACAAACTGACCCATCCCAAACCCCATCCCAAGGGCTGGGATAAGGGACAAGGACATCCTGGGACACCCGGAGCAGCCAGACCTTGGTGCTTTCCCCCTTTGGACCCTGCTCCCATTCCCAAATTCGGGATCGCAGCCCCCGGGCCGTGCTGGCACTGACCTGCTCCGAGCACATGGAATTCATCCCGGGCATCTGCAGGGGGTTCATCCCGGGCACCTGCCCTCCCATGGGATTGATGGTGGGGACGCCGGAGCCGCCGCCGGCCATGGACACGGTGATGCTCATGTTGTTGTACATTCCCGGCTGTGCCGGCGCCGCCGGAGCCGCTCCCGCCGGGCTGAACACGCTGGGAGGGAGGCAGGGAAAAGCGTCAGCCGGGAGGGATTCGGGATGAGCCGATGGTTGGTTGGGTCGGAAAAGTCGTGGAAGGGGTTGGGAGGGAAGGGATCTTAAATCCCATCCCATTCCAACCCCGACACCTCCCAGTGTCCCAGGGGGTTCCAGCCCGGCCTTGGACACTCCCAGGGATCCAGGGGCAGCCACAGCTTCTCTGGGAATTCCAGCCCAGCCCCTCCCCACCCTCCCAGCCAGGAATCCCTTCCCAATCTCCCACCCAAATCTCCCCTTTCCCACTGGGATCCATTCCCTGGGTCCTGTCATTCCAGGCCCTGATCCCAAATCCCTCTCCTGCTCTCCTGGAGCCCCTTCAGGCTCTGGAATGTTCTCCAAGCTCTCCCAGGATCCTTCCCTTCTCCAGCCTGGCCATTCCCAGCTCTCCCAGCCTGGATCCATCCCCTGCCATTGGATCCATCCCCAGCCCAACTCCTCCCTGGGAAGGAGTTCAGGGAACAAGGGGGTTCCCTGGGAATCTCGGGGCTCAGGGCAGGGTCTCCCTTCCCCTTTCCTGCCTTTTCCATCCTCAGATTCCATAAAAACCCCTCTGAATGGATCCTTTATCGTGGAATGATATGGATGGGAAGGGATTTTAAAGATCATCCCATTCCATGTTCTGGGTCACCTTCCACTATCCCAGGCTGCTCCAGCCTGGCCTTGAACACTCCCAGGGATCCAGGGGCAGCCACAGCTTCTCTGGGAATTCCA